TTTCTTCTGTAAAACACTTGTATATATAGACATGAACAAGGCCTAGGTCATGTATAGCTAGATATAGTGATCAACCATCTGCTTTACGCCTTTAATTAGGGTCGTTTGAAAACATGAATAATTATCCTTAAATATGTGAACGCTGAGGAAATAAGAAGAAATTCAACCTCTTTTGTTTTCTCGTTGTCTTTTTTTTTTTTTTCTACATCATTCACTTAAAATTCTCTCTCTTATACGTCTCCCCTAGCTATTAGTATGTATTAAATATACAAAATCACAGATTGTGTCATGGCCTAATTGGCAACTTGTGACCCAGAATCTTCTGAAGGGAAAATAGTGTAACACTGAAGTAAATGATTTGAATTAGGACATTACATGCATTCTTCTTTGAATTGATTTGTGTCTAGATGTTCAGTATATTTTTGGCATTACAATGGCATCATTGAGCTGGTTTCTTCATACCTTCTTGGCCTTTTGTATCATTGACAGATCTGTACCAACCGGGCAATTGGAATTTGGGTTGTTAGCGCTAGCCTATCAAGTTGATTATCATAACAACCTTCTATTAATTCTCTTATTATATGCGCATGCATGGACAACATTTTTTTTTTATATTACTTTGGAATTAATCATTCTGGAAAAGTTCATCTTAATACAAAAACAATTCTTAGATGACCGACCCTGCATGACTTAATTATTAATATCCCATGTGGTGGTTGGGATTTGGGATGAGAGGGAGAGAGAGTAAGTCGATGTCACGTAAACCAATTACCATGGTGATTGGTGAATGAGGTGACTTATAAATTTATACTAATTTTATTGAAGAATAGAGACGTTAGGTTTGTTTTATATTGTTTATTGTTTAAAACATGCCTTGCAATCTTGCAGATAGGGGTGTCAATTGAACTGGATTTGGTCCAATCCGATCCAGTTTAATGGATCAGATCCTATCTAATCCATTGAATATTTTGGATCAATTTGGACCAGTCCAATTCAATGTTTGGACCGTCCAAATTCATTTTGATTTAGATTACCCAAATTCGGTTCATTGATACATATATTTTTATCTTATACTAAGGGATCAGATACTGGCTTAATCCAACCCAATTCAATATAAATTTATTATGAATTGATCAAGTCCAATCCAATCTAATAAATATTTTGGACCAAATTGATCTACTACAATATGGTCTTGTTAGTCCATCTAATTCATTCAAATTGATTTTAGACTGAACGGGGTCCAATCCAAAATCGGTCCATTGACACCCTTACTTGCAGATTATTGCACTGAAAACGAAGTGCAGAAGCCAAAAATAAGAGTGTGTGATGTAGATGCTATGGATCTATCAAAAAAGTTGGCTATGTGGACCGGTTTAGTATATTTTCTATTCAATATTGAAATTGATACTTTACAATATAGTATATAAATATTGAAATTGGTATTACCACCCATCCAAACTAAGAGTGATTAAATATGAATTGAGCGGTTGATTAATTAAATCGACTAAATCAGTTTTATAAGCTATGAATTATTAGTCATGTCCCAATTAAGGGCAGAATATTTGATGGATAATAACTCTTTTAGGCTGTGTTTGGTTAGAAAGAAAAAGGTGGGGAGAAGGGAGGGAAAGGTACTTAGGGAGGTTTGTAATGACAAGTTGGTTTCATTACTTTGATACAAATTAAATAGAGATAAAAATACAGAAGATGACAAAAGGGGAAGAAGAAAATGTGGATTTGTTGCCTCAATTGTGGCGACCAAACCTTTGCAATGGAGCATTTTTGCCGCTCTTCTGTTGAGAAAATAGAATCTAGGAAGAATTTAATTCTTGGAAAATTTCCATGTTTGTCAAACGACCTTGAATCACTGGATGAAATTCAGAAAGCCCATGAATGGTTTGGATGGGTATAGGTTTCCCTACCGTTTTCTTCAAATCAAACACCACCTTATAGGTTTCCCTACCGTTTTCTTCAAATCAAACACCACCTTATAGGATTTGCATGGTGTTGATGTCATAAAAATTGCTAACTTGGGCTTTGGTTTTGGTTTGGGCATTAAAAAAAACTCCATTCAGTCCATTCGGTTGAGGTATCGGAATCGGATAGCCCAAACCTGAACCTTACCCTTGCACCACTTCC